ATATATAAAAAAGCATAAATTTAGCAAATTATTTTCAAATTGTTGTCTAGCGTTGTTTTACTATTATCGACTTATCATTAACTTACTAAGAACCGAAAAATCGAACCAAATCAACAACAATCAAACCGATGGTTTGTATTTAATTTGGTTTGGTTTTGGTTTTAAAATTTTAAAAATCGATTAAATTGGTTTGGTTTTGGTTTTAATCAAAAACCGACCAAACCAAACCGTGAACAACCCTAGCTCCTAGTTTTAACAGATGATGTAGCCCCCATTTCCTTTTTGCATTAGATTTGGGCTGAGATTTTGTGGGGTGGGCTATGAGAGTTTGGGGAATGGGTTTTTGTTTGTTAGTCAGATTATTGGGCCGATTAGGATTAGTAGCCTAGTTAATATTAATTTTAGAATTGTATTGAGAAGTTTGAGTTTTCAGAAACTTACCAGAATTTACATCGAACATTTTTACCTGTATCTTTTGTGAATTTTTGTTCATGATGATTTGCAATTCCTGTATCATTGCTTCGTGGATGCATGAGATTTTGATTTGGTTTCCTCCTTCGTGGGAAGGTTACCGTCTTCTATTCGTCCTTATCTTCTTTAGGACTATGTGTTTCAGAGCACTCTGGGACTTCTTGTGATGGTGTTATCCTTTTTTGCTTTTACTTGCAAGATTTAAAGGTGTGCCTAATTCTGCCATAGCCTTTACACAAGGTTCCTTCCCCTTCATAGATCACTGCCTATTTGTAGTCTCCGATAATGACTGATGTTTTCACCGAAATTCAAGTAGAACTTGGATACATGCGTGCATACCTCCCTCTCAGAGTGGAGGATGTGCAAGTATCCATTTTAAGTAATTTGCCAAGTTTTCGACCTGCCTTTTCCAGAATTTCTTTATCATAGAATTATTTTTGGCAACTGTGGTAGGCGAATCCAGATAGCAGTGGAAGATAGCGTATCTTCCTGTGGAATGAACTTTGGTTCCCATTTACGTACTGATAGAAAGTTCCCAGAGATGAACTATGGACCTAGGTGTAGTGCCTTACCCATATTTTCCTCTAAACTAAACTTGAATATGAAGAAGTCTCATTCTAAGTCAATTAAGATTAACTGTTCGGATGATTTTCAAAGGTCAGTTAGCTTAGATCTAAGGTAAGGGTGGAGCATTCTACGACCAAAGACCTTTACGATGATTGAAAATCGCCATGGATAGTATAGACCTAGGATAAGGCTATTGAGCTATCAATTCCTTTACCCTTATCATCTTTGTTGTTTGAGTGGAGTTCCTCTTCATGATACTTTGCTTGGCTTGTTGTGAACTAGGGGTGGCAATGGGCGGGGCGGGTTGAGTCATAACCCGCATAATTTCAACCCACACCGCCCCGCACCGCGTAACATTTTTTTGTCTTTCAAACTGCCCCGCCCCGTATCAACCCGCACCCACCCCGTTTTTTTTTTTTTTTTTTTGTTATGATTTTGTAGATCTAGAAAAACTAAATCAAAATTTAATATTATTGCAGTGAATAAAAAGATTCAGAACATAAATTTCAATAAAAAAAAGAAGAAAAGTTACGGACATTTTTTTATTTTTTTTAGAGTTACGGACAACAGTGAACTGCTGCTACTTTTGTGGTTCTTCTTTTCGTAGAATATTGAGTATATTTTAGAGTGACAAGGCATTAGGTGAAGAAATATTAATATAATATCCAATTTATTATTTTGACCAATAGTTAGTCCTTGGTTAAGTTAGTTACGAGACATATTTTGAAAACTCAAACTGTATTCCTATTTGTCTACAAAAAATTAGGGATGAGAAAATAGAACTAGAAATATATAAAATTATATTAAACCTTTTCTTTTGAATGTTTTTTCAAATGTTAAAAAAAAAAATAGAACTTGTAAAAGAGTACCCTTTATAAACTAAAGATTAGTTATGATTCATGGATCACAAAATACAGGTTCATAAGAACAGTTCCAAAAATCTAGATAATGAAATTATTCTTAATAAAAAAAGAAAATTTAGAGAATGAAATATGTATATAAAGCAAAAGAACAATTATAATGCAAAAAAAATTGAAGGGTAGAGTTAGTAGACTTAGATTCCCTCAAATGCAGCAACACCCGCACAAACCCGCAGCGGTTTCACCCCAAAACCCGCAACCGCCCCGCCCCGCATTTAATCTTCAAAAATTTATTTTAACTCGCCCCGCACCCGCACCCACCCCGCATAAAGACAAACTGCCCTGCATCCGCATAAGTTTAAACCCGCCCCGCCTCGCACCCATCCCGCCTCATTGCCATCCCTATCTGTTTATCTAGTAATATTTTTTTTGTAGGAGTTCATTGTGGTTTCTTCCATGTCTATTTGGTTAATTTTATCTGGTGGTTCCGGTATGATAATTTTAGGAGAACTTTCCAACAGCCAAAAAAATGCAAGTATCTGGTGGTGAGGTTCCTCACCGGATCATCATTTTTTTACCAAGAAAAAGTTGAAAAAACACATGCCATAAATAAAATCCAGTTCAAATCAGCCAGACAAGTGAAGTAGCATTCCAGTTTTGAGCATTATATCAAGTTTCTAATCTTTTGTAGTTTTAATGATTTATGCTTCTTTTTGCATTTTATGTGATGTACGAATTTGGAATGGTTTTTCTTGTGACATCTTCACTCTTGACTTTAATGGTACATGAATGATTTTTTTTTTTGATTTAATTTGTGATTGCCTGGTTGCACTAAATTTTCTAAGGCTTGCTTCTCACTAAGTAATGGAGTTCCTTCAAGTTACTTTCTGGAGTTCTCCAAGTTCGCATTTGTTAAAGATTTTGTTGAGATTAAAAGAGGGTAAATGAGAAATGAAGGGAAAATAAAATATTTGAGTTTCATTTGAGATTCCCCCCTTGACAAAGGGACATTGTCCCATTTTGAAAGAGGAAAAAGTTTTTGATTGGTATATATACAACTGCTCTTCTTGTAGCTCTTAAAGAGTTAAGAAGAAGGCAAGTCTCGCGTAGTCGTCATCGTCGCTCGGCCTCGGCTTCGGATTGAAATATTAACAGAAATCCAATGGAATATTAACATTAAATCCAATGAAAATATTAAACGTTTTGTTTCCTTAATTCGTTTCCAGTTTTTCGGTGTTGTAACCGAAAATTAACTTTCCTCTTTAATTCCTAGTTTATTGTTGCATAAACTAGCTATTTATGTTATGACATTTATGTTATGACCGTTTTACATAAACAATCATTCTGAAGAGTTGCACCTCTTCAGTTTTGAGCTTAACATTGGCTATAAATACAAGTCCATTCTCTCAGATTTTTCATACGATTTTTTGAATCCTCCTCCTTTCTTCTGCATTGTTTTAACTTCAAAGAAAGCAACAGGAAGTGTGATTTGATACCGAACTTTGTGTTCGCTGAAACACTGAGGTTTAAAGTACTACTACACCAGTGTGTAATTCATTCTATCATGGGAGGAAATAATCCACAACCTTGGATACAAGGAGGGGGTTAAATTCCTTAAGAAAATACTGTGAATTCAGTGGGCTCGAATTTACTTATGTTTTATTTATATTTCTATTTATATGTTATTTTATTTTCTCTAGAATTATTTTATAAATACAATATACTAACAGCTTTTTCAAGCAAAGTTGGAGTTGCTTAAGATTTTTCCACCAAAACTTGTAAAAGAATTTCCGAAATTTAAATGCTTGAAGTTGTGGTTGTATTTCAAGTGAAGATTTCCAAATGTTCAACATCACTCAGAAGTTACAAATATATATATAAAAAATCTCAATTATTCAAATGTAATTTTAACACAAACTTTTTTTTTTCAAACTTCATCTTTGGAGTTTGGTGTCACGGCCCAAATCTGGGAGGCGTGGCTGGCACTCGGTGTCGTGCTAGCTCGAACAAATCACTCTGTAACTCATGATGGTTTGACCAAAACTAAAACATACATAAGTCGAGTTGGCTGAATTTATTCCTTTTGTAACTATCATGGGCCAACATGATCACAACTCATAATGTACAACTATAAATGGACAAATACTGTATCAGCAAACTATCTTACTTAAAATATAAATACACACGGTTATCAAGGCCTCTAGCATACTGTACATATTAAACTTCTGTTTATAAAGCCTCTAAGAGTATTTACATCAAATGGAATAGGGTACCGGCCTACCCATAAGTCTGTAGCAAAACTCTGATACGATGTGTGAATATCTAATTTTTGCACTATTTTAACATCTCCTAAAGCCAGTAAATTTTTTTCCTTGTGTGCGTTGTTTTAATTTTTTGTGTCTTTAATTTCTTATTTCCTATCATAAAAAAATATCAAAAAATAAATATAGTTCTTTCTTCGTGTGTGCATTTTAAAAATTAACTAAATCTTCAATAGGTGAATTAATTTAGATAATTGATCATTTGAATAATTTTTTTAATTATTTTATTTATTTGTGTAAATTTAGTTTAATAAGTAGGATTAAGGAAGAAATTTGGCCAAATTTGAAAGAGAAAGTGGCCAAGAGTGCAAGATAAGGGGCTGCCATTGAAAGGGCCCGAAACTACGTAGTTTTGCCTCAAAACTACGTCGTTTCATTAAGTGAATCAAGATTAAATCTCATCCATTCAACCCTCCCTCATCCAATGGTCCATAATCAATCTTTCAACTAGGTATTTAAGATTTAGAAATGCTGAAATTTTGCCCCCGTTTCTCCCATATTTTTTTTCTCCTCCCTCTCTCTCCTCTCTCTCTTCACTCTCTTTTTCTCCATAACCGCCGCCCCTCCACCGCCACCGGAAATCGCCGACCGGCGGCGGACCACCTCCAAACCATCTCAAAATTTCACCATGTAATCTCCAATACCTCCTATTTCCATATCTCCAAACAAAATCCTTCAAAACCCCCTCAACTCCACGAATTTTAGATCTAGAAAACCTAGCGCCACTTTTCTTTCTCAAATTNCACCCCCAAAAAAAATGCACCACCACCGGCCGCCACCTCACCGCCGTTTGTTTCCTCGTCTTTTATTTTATTTTTATTTTTTGATCCAAAGGCATTTGTTTCCTTTTGGAAAGACGCCAAAATTTATTGGTTTAGCGCTTTCCAAAGAGAAATAGGTGCCTCGGGGTCGGACAACCACCACTTGGCATTTTGGCATTGTCTCGTTATTCGATTCGACGTCGGATTTCCTGTAGTTTGGTATAAGTTTGCACCCTAATCTTTTTCCTTTTTTTTATTCAGAATTTCTGTTTTGTTTTATTTTATTTTATTTTATTTATCTCTGAGTATAAGTTTTAGTTTTAATTTTCTGTTTTTCAATTAGTTTGTTAAGCCATAATCGTTAGTTTGAGTTTACTTTCATTAGCATTCTTCAATGTTAGTCGTTGCTTAATATTTTCGAATTAGGTACTTAGTCATTTGTTTAGGTTGCTACTAATCGTTTTCCGATAGTGTATAAATATTTATTTAAGTTATATTTTAGGTAGCATTTCTTAATTCCAACCGTCTGTTGTTATTTTCCATAAATCGATTGGCTTTAGTTTAGTTTGTGTGAATACCTAGTTTGGGTCCATTTAAAGTTTCGTCTTTGTTTTGTCAATTATAGTTTGTTTGAGTTTGAATTACATAACTTGGTATTAATATTTGTAAGAGCTGAAGTTTATGTTATTTTATCACAAAATAGGGTGCTAGTAGCCTACTTTTACTAGTACGGTGGCTGAAATGACATTTTTTCTCCTTGCTTCTGACATAGCAGATTTCCTTTCACCTTTTAGACAAATTTTGAACAGTGTTTAGCACACAATGTCAGTCCTTGTCGGGAAGACTTTTGGTGAATCAAAATCTGTCCAAAAAAGTAATTTTCTTTGCCTACTTAAGGCCTGCCCTTTCCTCACTTTAGGGGGACTCAATCAGATATTTGTTGGACAAATTTTACACCCAAAAAAAAACATTTTGAGAGTGAAAAATCAGCAACTAAAGCACCCTTTAGTAAGCTGAAATGGTGAGCTTTATGAGTAAATTTTAGAGTGCAAACTTTTAGAAAAATATAAGTCTTCTTTAGAGTTGATTCTGGGTTTATTCTCTAAGGTTTTCGAGTTGTTTTAAACACGAAACTGCTGTTGTTTTCTACTGTGCTTTTTTTCTTTGCGGAGCTCCATTTTTCACTGCTATATTTATTTTCTGCAATTCAGGTATTTCTCAAATTTTGCAATGCAGATTTTTATATCCAATGGATGAGAATATGAGTCTCTTCCAGCTCATAGGATATGCTCGATGTGCTTTACTGGAATGAATGAATATTTAGCGTGTTACTTATGTTTAAAGCATGTACATCTATAATATTTGGTTAATCTTCCATTTTTCTTCACATATGTAGCTCAAACAACATTATGTGAAGTTTATCTAGTTAAGGAAAAGAAACATTTTGTTTTCCAGAAATATTTATATGTAGATGTTTAGTTTCTTTTGCCTTGGTTTCATATATCTAATGTTAGTCATTTTAACTCTCATCTTAGTGTTGAAAAAGTAACAGATAGTAATATGTCTCTTAGTAATATTTATGTTCATAGCAAGTTGATGAAATTGGGGAAAATATGTGACTAAGTGTGCTGGTAGGTTGGAAAGAACTAGTGGAAGAATACATTTGTGTTATTAATATGTTGAATATCCATTATTTAAGAATGAAACATGTGTTTTCCTAGGTACATGTTTAGGAATTTATATTTTTAATGCATTATTTTATCCTTAGTTTCATGTATTAGCTTTGGCTTCATTCTTTTTTTTAAAAAAAAAAGAAAAAAAAAAGAAAATAGTTTAGGTTGTTGTCACTTTTGTATTAGTTACGTTTATTTCATGTTTTTGTTAATGACTGGACGACGAAAGTTTGAACTAATCAAACCGGAATAATAGACAAGAGTTTTGCCCAACCTTTAAAATAATACATATGTTATATATTCCATTTTTTAATTAAGATTTTTCTTTATAAATTAGAATTATTTAATCACCCCTTAATAATTAATTTAAACGCTAGGCAATTAGTAGGCGCGCTTTAACTTACGGAATCGCTTGCGTAGCGTGATGCTTAACATTCAATAAATTAATTTAATAATCTCATATCATACCCATTAGTTTAATTAATTTCTAATTTAATTAATTCTTTTGCTAAAATTGCGGATTCACTTGCATAGCGCGATACTTAATATTTTAGTAATTTCTTTAAGTGTAGTAACTTTCTTTTCAAAAGTAATAATGTACTAATAATCTTTGTCATAACTGCGGATTCGCTTATGTAGCGTTGTTATGATAAAATTAATAAATTTCGTCTCGATCACGCATTCGCTTGCGTAGTGTGGTTATGGCATCTTATTATTCAAAATTTTCTTTATTTTTTCTAATAATCTGGATATAAAAGCGGCAAGGTAAAAATATAAAAAACATATAGATATCAATTTGTCCAAAATTAATTCAAGCCAAGTTCAAGTCAATAAAGCGACCGTGCTAGAATCACGGGACTCGGGGAATGCCTTACACCTTCTCCCCGGTCAACAGAATTCCTTATCCGGACTTTGTTTTCGCAGACCAATAATAAAAGAGTCAAACCTTCCTTTGACTAGGGATTCAAATAGAAGGTGACTTGGAACACCAAAAATTCAATTCTAAGTGGCGACTCTGAATAACAAAAATAATCCTTATTTCAAAATTTGTCACTTTAATTGGAAAGACTCTTTAACCTACAAAACTCATAACACATATCTTTCGGGGGTAGAAAAGGGGTGTGACAGCTGTGGCGACTCTGCTGGGGACAACCAGAATTCGAGCTTGCACATATTGACTTTTTATTTGGCTTTATAAATTCTGTATATATTGTGATTTATTTGTGCATAATGTGCTACCTGTCTGATTTTTACCGTTTTGATATTGTTGAACTGTACATATAAACTGTTTTCTCACGCACCCCCTCTGAGCCTTCTTGAAATTAAAATTGGGAATTTGCTTGACATAGCACACTTTCTTTGAGATAGCCAAGGTGCTTGTCACCCGGTGAAGGATTTTAGTCACACATGTTTTAAGAGGGGAGCACTACCAGTTAAGCCGGAAAGCAATGCTACTAGAACATTGACCCTCCTCGGATCGAGTTGTCCACTCGAGTAAGCCAGTCTAGATACCTTCTCCACCAGGATTTAAACCTAGAAGAAGAAACCTCATGCCGGATATCCAAGTAGGTTCGCTTTATTTGCATCACGTGCATTTGACTTTGCGAAACTCGGCACAGGGGTCAGATCCGTATAAGATAGGTATCCTCTTTGAGACCATCATGTTCACTTATGTGCTATTTGATACATCATTTGGAAGGCTTACTCGCATTGTCGACCGGCTTTAAAAAATAGAATAATTATTAAAAATAAAATAAAAAAGAATCATTCTCCTAGTTTAGTGCAAATAAATCTTTTTTTAAAAAAAATAAAAAATTGTGTGCAGTAGTCTGGCGTAAGGTGTAAAGATTAATTTTATAAAAATAAAAAGAGAAAATACTTGTGAGCACGTGATTTTTCCCCTATATGAATTACTCCCATAAATTCAAGTAAATAAATTTTCCCCATTATTTGCAATTTCGTAGATTTTTGTAGCATTTTTTGTTAACTATTTGCATTTGTCTATGCATGTTTATTTTATTTAATTCATGAAAAATACCAAAATATGTTGCATTTACATTTAGGATTTAATTTTACATTTTTGAATTAGTTAGTAATTTAGTTGTGTTACAAAAATAGAAAAATCAGAAAAATAACTCATTTTTGCATTTAGCTTCGAATTTTGTAGTTTTCTTTTAATTTGGTATATTAATTAGTTGTGGCAAGTAATATTTCGAGTAATTAATCTAATTTGGTAGGATAATTTGGTTTAGGAATTAAATTAGATTTTTATTTTGAAAAGAAAAATGAATTTTTGAAAATAAAAAAAAGAAAGAGAGAAAAGAAAAGGAATTGAAGAAAGAAGTCTTGTTGGGCTGTTCAATTAATTCCCCAGAGGCCCAAACATTATTTACCCTTTACCCGCCCCAAATTGGCCCAAACTCGCCGTTTTTACCCGACCCACCCGCTCATCTAACCAAACTACCCCATTTCCCAGGCTTTCGATCTGAGTCGTTGATCCCGTGTGATCAGATGGCGAGGAACTGAAGCTCCTTATGTATATAACTGTCCGAAAAGCCCCTTACCCCCTCAGACCCTCTCCCTCCTCTTCGTCTCTAACCTTGAACCCTAGAGAGACCACCGCCCTTAGATACTCACCCTCATCTACGGTGGCGGCGATGCCATAAACCACTCCAACCCACCCAAAAATAACACCCCAGAACCCTCTCACCCTCCCCATTCCAAATCTTAACATAACTTCCCTTGAATCCCCCCACAAGTGCTCGAATTTCAAATATGAATCCAAGACATAAAACCCCCAAATTTACCCAAGTTCACACCAGATAACCCCTCACCTCTTTCCCGCTCCAAGCTCGTTTTTGTTTCTCATCAAATTAGCTCGTCAATGGTGGAGCAGGGGTCTGGGAAGCCCTAGGTCTCGCCCTGTTTTCTTTTCTGGTTCAGCAAGGTCGAGTGAACCTAAACCGTCATTAATCGTTTGTCTTTTGTTAAGGACAATCGATTAATGACAGTCGAAGGTTCATTTTCTTCTACAAAAAGGGCTATGCGAGTTCATACGGGTTTTTGCTCAAAGCCAGGTTTGGGGTAATTTCCCTTATGTCGATTAGTTTCCTTTGATCTTCTCCTTTTTTTTCTTCAGAAGTTTTGGTTCTTGTTTGATTGCATAATGGTTCTGGCTGTAAGTTCATTAGTTAGATTGTATGCCTAATCGTTAATCGGCTTCATAGGGTGTGAGTTTAATTTGGTATCAATTTGTGAGGTTTTCTTTTTTTTCTGCTCTTTTAGTTTATGTTGGTCGATCAATAGTTAGGTTTTATTTTATGCTTGTTAAGTGATTTTGGAACTGAACCATTAAGGCTGGTCAAGTGTAGTTCATTGTTTGCATTGAATTTTCTGAGTTCATGTTTGTGTGAGAAAGTTCTTAGGTTTAATTCAAGGCGTAGTTGTATTTGTTGGTTCATTCAAGCATGTTTTAGAATCATCAATTTTCTAGCATTTCTGAATATTCCATTTTAGGGTCCTGTAGCAGACTAGTCCTTCATGGATATAATTTGATTCAACAGTTGTTTTGAAGTTCCCTTGTTTTCAATCCATTTGAAGATATTAGCCTACTTGTTTGTTGTTTGTGGCTATTCAGAACTTTCAGGGTGTTAGTTGAATAATTAGGAACTTCAGGGTTAGTTTGGGTATTGTTTAACCTGGGGAATCTTTTAATAACTGATTGGGAAGCTTCCTAAATAGACAACTGCCCAAAATTGTTAGGGAAAATAGGCTGAAAAATGAAAATATCTGAAAGAAAAGGACAGTTGTACAAAAGCCAATTTTAAAAGATGCTCTGTGAGGGTATTTTGGGGAAATCCACTACCTTGCCTTGGAAGGCACACAACAGAGCCCTGCCTTATAAATAAGGCTTTTCCCTTATTTAGTAGACACTTTTTTTCAGACCCTAAAAGACCATGAAAAATTCTCTACACTATTGCATCGGAAATTGACTGGATTTTCTGATTTTCTTTTAGAAGAACCTTTTAGAAAACTTTCATTAGATATCTGTTTTTCTGGGTTTGAGCATGAGCTGAAGCTGTTTGTTGGTTGGTTGTTGCTGTTTCCTCTACTTGGTTGACTGCACTGAACTGCCTAATTTCTCATATGTTTGCCTTGATTTTCAGGTATTTTTCTCGGATTATGATAGTTGCTGAAGTATAAGAGCATCTTGATGTATTGTAGTTGTAGTGAGAATGTGGATGAATGAATTGAAGGCTGTCAGTATTTTCCATATATGTTTTCTTTCTTTTTTTCTAAAATTCTATTTCAAATCTTTGGTTCATTTCCTTTCAGCTTTTAGTTAGTGTGAGATTTGTGAAGGAACAATGATCCAAGAGGGATTTCATAGGTGTCAGGACTTAAGTTAATACAATTTCATGAACTATTCAATTGGTTGGATCATGTAGTTTATCTCTGTATGTTCTTTTATATTCAAGGATTGGGGTGATCTGAACCTCATGTTAATGGTGGTTGTTAAGACTCTATAGCTAGTTCACTCAATTTGAGCAGGGTTAATTGGTTATGGGAATTACCAAGTTTTAGCATTGTTAAAGTTATCTGTTAGTGCCAGGGTTAGCATGTGAATCAATAGCTTTATTTTTAATTTGTTTGCCAACAGGTGTAAAGTCCGATGTCATAAATTGGTGATGATCATTAGCCCTTGTCTTATGTTTTCTTTTGTTGTAAGGCTGTCATATGTTTTTGGATTACTGAATATTTTGATGCATGGGTTCAAATCAGTAA